ACACTACTGTTATAATATAATTGTGATTTATGAAAAGAAAAGTTTGATGGTTTTTATAAATAGTTATTAATTTTGAGTGTTGCTTACTAATAGTTACAACGCAAGGCGATAATTTCTGAACGAAAACTTTTCTTTACGAAAAACTTACAGAGTGTTGGCGAAAGCTTTGAATTTCTTTTTTTTTAGATCATTATGAATACAATTTCAGTGAATCTCCTTCAAATCATTGCAAAATTTTTAACTTCTAACTAAAACCGTCTTTTGATATATACTAAGAACTTTTTTGTATAAATGTGTAAAAGTCACTGGTTATATACATAAGTAATTTAAAAAAAAATCGTAAAAACTCTTTATAAATACATATATTGCAACATGATTGTGGTCGACAATCATTCCATCCTTTAATAGGCTGAAATAAAGTTCTAGTTGTTTAGTTATATTAATTATAGAGCCTAATGTCATAGATTCAAACGTCACTTATTCAAACTCAATGAGTATTAAAATACGACCCTATATTACACTACTATTATTACAACACACTATAGAAATTGAGAAATCTGACTAACTTTCACTAGAAACAACTACTAACTTCATTTTTACAGTTTATAAAAAAAATATTTTTAAATAAATACGAAACATTATAGGAATTTAGTCTATTTAAGTGTGAATTCCTTACCAATATAGAATATTAAATGTTTTGATGATAAAACTTTGAGACGTTAAAAATAATTTTTAATATTTTTAACTTTTAATATCTTGGTAATAATAATTTTCTAGTCAACTAAATCAACATTTATATACACGTATTTTAAAACTCTCATCTGCAAAACAAAGCTTACGTTCCATATACCAAAAGCACTCGCAAGGCGAAATTGTAATGTCATTGTTTTTGAAATGCAAACAAAACATGTTTTAAAAACATTCTTTGAAAAGCAGATATTACTGTATATAAAGTCATGTTAGTTACACTATTTAAACTCAAGACGGATTTGACCTAATATTGGTGGACAGTTAGTCTAGATACATAAGACAGACTTAAGATACTTTTCTTCCTGTTCAACCTGAAAAGAAATAAAAATATCTCAAAAAATCCAAAATGCAGCTACTGCCTCTAAAGCGGAACAGAGTTCGAATGTTCAGTTATACGTTTTTATATAATAAAACATTGAACAGAGATCTGTACCGTTTATAAATAAGAAATGCTTTTGTGAAGAATACAATCTAGGCTGCTAGTTTATTAATAGATAAAAAGTTACATAAAATGAACTACCATAATATGTAAGGCACAAGGTCTTTAGGTCTGTTACAATACTTTAAAGGTGAATTTTTATTTAATATATAAATGATGATGTTTCATAAGAATTATTTAGTTAAATAAGCATGATACTACTACTATAATAAAATATGTTTGAAAGCATTACATTTTATAAAAATAAAAACCTGAAGTAATTTACTGAAACCATCGTTACAGATTTATTTATAGTTAATAAATGTGATAGTAAAATTGTTCCAACTCTTATTACTTGTTGTTATCAATACGAATTCAACGCTTAATTGACATGACAGACAAATATTGAAAGGCTGGATGCACATTTAAATTAGGTGTCATTGAATTAAAACGAGTTTTTTATTTATTTAGTACAAAGGAAAGTTTCATTAAATTGTTTTAAATTCATCAAATTATAATATCTACTGTATGAATTAGACATTAACTAAATTAAATATTGAGTAAGTTATTATTTTGTTATAATTACAAAAAAATATGTTCTTACGCCTGGAAGTAGGAGTTTTTCAATAATGGCATATAAAATTAATAATAATCTCAAATTTGTCTTTGTATCTCGAACAATATCTTTTTATATATATATATATATATATATATATATATATATATATATATATATATATATATATATATATATATCAATAAACATAATATTCTAACTGACACCAACCTTAAAAAAAACTACAAATTATCTAAGAATTATCAACATTTTCATTGTTTTTTCTCAAATATAAATCATTTTTTCTATTTCGTACATTTGATGTTTAACAATCTGTAAGAAATTCATTTATGAAAGGTGAGATAAAATGTTATCAACAAAGAATAAAGTCTTATAGGATCAAAATATATAACAAGAGAGAGCCCTACAAGTCATTATAATATTGACTTGTATTATTAATATTCTATAATAATATTTAAAGGAAAAAAATGAATAATTTTATTAGATTTTTCAATATACAAGCTGTTTAATATCGTAGATATAATATCGTCAGTATGAAATTATTGAGTACATATATCAAAATTCATATAAAGAATGGCAAAAAGTTTTATAAATAATAAAATGTATAATGTAAAACGTATTGTAATGAATTACTAAAACTTCTTTAAAAAAATCGTATTCGATGTCTTTAAAGACTCAAATAAGATTATATAAAGTTAGGGGTTCAGGAATCTCAAAGACAGTATATGAGGTAAAATATTTTACAATAAATTTTTTGTGAAAATAATGTTTATTGAAAATACGTGAATTTTGTAAGTAATACATGACAGATGGTCTGTAAAGGTCTAGACGAATAATGACGTACTTGTTCTAAAAAAATGCGTTGTTTCTGTTCAGCGTAAGTAAGCTGAAGATGTAATTTAAAAAAACTGCTAGTAATATTCATATTTAATGAAAAGTTTATTTCATAGTTTACAAAAAATATCATTTAGAAAATAATACAATGAGGAAAATATATTATCGAAATGACATCGATAATAGCCTTTGATTCTAACAAATTCTGAGTTACAAATAAATTATCCATCAAAGAGGAAACCTGATTCGTATATAATTACAAATCTATTATTTTTAAAGATTCTCTTATCTTTTACCTCCGTAATATTAGTGAAACTTTATAAAGTTAGAAATACATGTACTACGACCTTACAGTAATATGTTTATATTGAAATAGTATTGCATGTTTGAATCAAGACCTTTCCTTTAGTTAAACCATGCAGATAGTATTGTTCTAAACTAAGTACCAACTAGACGGATCCAGGGAGTAGTATAATATCCGGTTTGAGTGAGACGAATAGATACATTAGAAAGAGATGGAATATGTTTGAAATAACAATGTGTTATGGTTTATTATATGCAACATTTTAAAGAAAACTGAATTTGAAAGTGTTTGAAGTGTTTACTAAGTCATATTAATTTGTCTATTTTGTATAATGTATAAAATTGACAAAAGTAGTCTGTAAATTATAAAGACTTCTCAGTATAGTTTTTACTTTAACTTTTTTACTGTTATATCTACAGCTGTATTATTATGTGGTATTATATTTGTTATATTTCCGAGTACTTCAATCTCAAAGTCTAATTTTTTTTTATGTTATAGGGGGCAACCGAGCAGACGGCCTACCTGATGGAGGTAGTACCGTCGCCCATAGACATCCGCGACATAAGACATGTTGCGGATGTGTCACCACCCTTGATTTGGGAAGAGGGGATGGAAAAATGGTAAGGGAAAGGGCAACCGGCTCTCTCACTCATCGAACGAAACGCAGCAACTAAGGCTACTTCACGCCGATCTTCTGTGAGAGGGTGGTACTTCCCCGGTCGAGCCAGCCCATGTTCGAGCTGCAATCAATTGACCACAGCTAGGCTCTACCACCTTTAAAAATGCAACTTCATGAAGTTTACGGATGTTAAATAAACACAGAATTCATGCAAATAATCATTTTATAATTATTTATAACTAGTAAACCTGGCGAACTCCGTTTCGCCTCCAGAAGGCTTTGTTTTATGTAACATTTCGTTTGGTGATTAAAAGATGAAGATTTTTTTTGTTTTATATTTGAAAAGGAAAATTTTTATTTCATTTCACAACAGTAATGAGTTCATTTCGATTACAAAAATAAAGTGTTATTTAATTGAACTTCTCTAAGTAAATGAAAGTGAATCCAAAGTAAATACCGAATCGAAGCGATAAACGTGTCCGCAAATTATCCGTTTCATTGAAGTGCTCCTTTGTAAACCACATTTTTTGTTTTTTGTTCTAACGTTAACACAAATAAAGCGGATGGTTTCCTAACTCGTGAACACACAAACTATAACTGCCCATGTGAAAAACAATGATTTTCTAAATTTATCCCGCAAATACTAAATTACATATCTGTCATTACGTCAATTGCATAGCTGTCAATTGTGTTTCGTTATTCCACGTTTTATAGTGACTGACGTTTCATGTCAAGTCCCACGGGAATGCTGTAGAACGGGATAAAAAGTATCCTATTGCGATTTCCTGGTTCTAAAATACCTCCCTGCCAATTTTCAGCTAAATCGGTTCAGCCGTTCTTGAGTTATAAGTGCAGTCACTAACACGACTTTCTTTTATATATATAGATGTAACCAGATATAAATATTGAATGTCTAAAAGCTATGATATAGTATCATATCGAATAAATCCTTATAAATAAAATATATTATACGTACCAGCTGGGCTCTTACCCTTTGTAATATATCCACCTTTTTGTAAGTTGATAGATTGTTTGATAAATTCTATTCAAAGTGTGAATATCTCGTTCTTTGATTCGTATGTTCTCAAGGCTTATAACATGTTTGAATATTATTATATTTCTTTACGTTTCTCAAAAGCCAAATTATATACTAATAGGAATACAATTAAATTGTTTTGTTATTTTATATTATCAAGGACTCTTAACTTTTATTTGAATTTTATAGCTAAATATTTTTTGATCCAAATGAGACATTTAGGATTTTCATTATTCATCTCAAAGTAGAAATGTATTTTAAACAAAAAATATTTTTTTATCATTCAATCATAGTATTATTTACGCCAGTTCCTATAATTAATATTATCCTATTTTTTGATAAGACGAAACTTCTCAGCATTCCATGGATTCACCGTGCGGGTGCCGGGTCCATCGCGTTGCAGGGGGAGGAGCTTCAACAGTGCCTGGGACTTGCGACCCAAGTGTAGGTTTAAGGGGCCCCTTAACTAACGCGCGTTATACGCTCACCTCCACTGTCCAAGCTCCTCTCCCTACCTAACCAAATTTGAAAAGAGCCTACTAGGGCTGCCTTCGATGTACGTTCCAAGAATGCATTAATGAGAGTTCTGGACAAGCCCAAGTCCTTTAGTAGGTTATAGAGAGATTTCGCTGTTATACCTCTCGCTCCCACCTCTACCGCGTACAAATCTACTACGAACCTATTTCGAGTGAGTTCGTTTGTGAGCTCGTAATATTTGTTGACCTTGATGGTATGGTCTTTGGGGATGTTGGTTTCCCAAGGGACCGTAAGCTCTATCATCACTACGCGCCTTAAAATTCGCGAAAACAAAAATATATCCGGTCTGGAGGCCGACGCACAAATATCCTCGGGGATTTTATATTGTTTTTCATACGTGTCCATCATTATAGTCCAATCCGACGCCGCTTTAAGGATGGAGTAAGGCTTGACGTTTGATTTTGTAGCCCTAGTGCCTTCTCTCACAAAACCTACTGATCGTTCGTTTGTGGTTATTCCCTTTTGCGCTCTGGCTACCGAAAGACTAACCGCTTCACGTATGACTTCTAAAACCCTATCGTGACGACGCGAGTATTGACCGCTGTCAAGGAGTACCTTACATCCCACCAGCAGATGCTTAGCAGTTCCAACTGCCTTTCCACAGATATAGCAAGTTTTTTCGGTACTTTTACCCCATCTTACTAAATTACTCTGATCTGGGAGAGTCATCTGGAACGCATTGAGATAGAATTTTAGCAATGCTGGCGACCAATCATAAATTAAAGTGCGCCATTTTAATGCTAATGGGATGCAAAAATCTCCTATGTCTAACCACTCGTTCTGCATTTCTAAATTCATTGCATGGATCTTATATTTATCATTCTCGTCTTGCCGAATAAAAGACTTCAATATATCCGCATCTTGGACTTTCCTATTTGATCCTAACCCCGCTCTGTTACTTTGCGCTCCTATCATAAATTGCTTATGGAATTGAAGTCGTGACTCTAGCTCGGGGGCATCTTCATCTTTTGGGAGCGATGTTACTATGTCATCATGGGATTTCCCCAGGATATATCTCTTGGAAACTCTTAGGTGTTTATAGAGCTCCGATGGCCTTTTTAGACTCATCCCAAAACTATTGCTTCCCCTAAATAACGCCGATGAATCAGCCGTTAGAGCGAGCCCGAGCCACAACTTCAACATCTTTATGACGCCTGCATCTAACTTTGACAAAAGGGTTTTATTAAAATCATAGACGAGGAAAGGCCAATTCAAACGTGAAGTTAAGTAATTCTCGTAGATCCACGCTTTTTTGACGTTACTTATCAGTTGGCTATCTACCTTGTCAAGATCGTTCAAAAAGCTATCTACTATTCCTTCTAAAGATGGAGTACGGCCTATATTATCTATCTTACGACCGAGAAATTTAAATGGTGCATTTTCCGTAACCGTAGAAATGCATTGACCGCCTAACGATAGTCCCGGATCGTATGAGGTGTATCTTGTATTCCGCCTACCAAGACACAGACAGTGACATTTACTGGGTTTTGTCCTCAATCCATCTGTCCACTCACAGAATTTATCCACTTCATCCAATAGTACCTGACAGTGTTTGGGGTTACGTGTCAGTATTGCGAGATCGTCAGCGAAGGCTAAAATGGATTCCGTGTATTTATTATTAAACTTAAACCGATAACCCCATTTTTTCTCGTTACAGATTAATTTGTCTACTAAGATGTTAATTACGATATTAAACGCAATTGGAGATAGACAACAACCTTGAAACAGTCCTACATTATAACTCAAACTTTTTGAAGGGCCTTCTTTAGTTATTATAGAAAACCTTAATTTTGAGTAATACGACGCGATCATATCTCTAACTAGGGGTGGAAAGTTGTACCATCTAAGCGCGAATAGCATCAATTCGTGTTGTATCGACCCGAACGCGTTCTCCAAGTCTATCCAACAAACAGTGATTTGCCGCTCGCTTTTTCTAGCATCTTTCAAACTCTCCGACAGCAAGGTGTTATGTTCTAGGCATCCAGAAATCCCGGGTAAAAACCCTTTCTGGTGATTTGGCCTAAAATAGTTGTTGCTGAGCATGAATCGCGTCATTCTCGTTTGTAGAACCGAGAAAAAGATTTTCGATATAGTATTTGTTAAAGCTATCGGTCTAGTATCTTTCGGATCAGTAACTCGATCTTTTTTGGGAATGAGGACAAAAATTGCTTTCCCGAAGCACTCCGGGATTTGCTTCCTTGACCAGATTTTACCGTATATATTTAGGAGGTGTTTACGAACCGATGCACATTTTTTAAAGACTATATATGGGATACCATCGGGTCCCGGTGCAGATTTAGACGACTTCCTCTTGATCTGACTACTTAGTTCCTCTAGCGTTGGTGGAATGCCGTGGAATTCGATTCGAGGAAATTCAGGTTTTTGATCGTTTGGATCCCTATACCGTCTTAAACTTTTAGGCACTTCGTATGTGCTCTTAAAATGGTCGTAAATTTGATCGTTGGTCAAGAGAAGCTGTCCACGTTCTTTCTTAAAAATGGTTTTCGAATACTCAAAAGGGTTTTTATCGAAATCTACTTCTTGTTTTGCCCGGTCAAAATTATCGCGATATTCTGCAGTTTGCGCCGATATTCCTTGGATTAATTTAAGGATTGACCTTAACGCCCTAGCTAGTTGATGACTAAGGTGATTGTCGCCTAGAGCTTTGGCTATACGTAGATTTTTTATTAATTCCCGTTTTTTCTTCCGCATTTTTAATTTGAACGAATTGTCTTTATTTTTGCGAGCATAACGATTACGTGGTGGATATTGCTCGCTAAAGTAGTCATAAACGGTATTTTGGAAAGTTTCTACCTGCGCGTTCAATTCCTGCTTCGAGCCCGGATGCTCTAACAGGACCGCTAAGTTGTCGTCATGAACTTTCCAAGTCGATTGTTTTAGATTAGGAATGCTAAGACGTGTCCTGATGTTAATGGACTCCTGGTGGTTTCCAGTTAATGGTTCACCATGGGATACATGAGGGTCAACTCTATCCGAAGTGAATGTTGTAGATCTTACCGACGATTGTCGTGCTTCAACCCCATTATGTGTTTTTAGATGTTTAATGTACCAGGCTCGTCTCTTGTAGTTTTTCCCGCACGCAGAGCATTTCAAGTCCGTATTCGCGCCGTTTTCGCCGTTAGAATCGACCGGTGGACAGTTCTTCCGCCCCCCCTCTCGGACTGTCCCAGGGGTATTTTTCTTCTTCGGACTTTTAGCTTTATGTATACCGGGTTGGGCTTGCTAGGCCGTCGCCCTCGGCTGTCTTTCCAGCAGTCATCCGTCTTTCCGGCAGTCATCCGTCTTTCCGGCAGTCAGCTGTCTTTCCAGCGTCAGCCCGACTCTCCGGGCAGTCGTTTTAAATAAGACGAAACTTCTCAGCATTCCATGGATTCACCGTGCGGGTGCCGGGTCCATCGCGTTGCAGGGGGAGGAGCTTCAACAGTGCCTGGGACTTGCGACCCAAGTGTAGGTTTAAGGGGCCCCTTAACTAACGCGCGTTATACGCTCACCTCCACTGTCCAAGCTCCTCTCCCTACCTAACCAAATTTGAAAAGAGCCTACTAGGGCTGCCTTCGATGTACGTTCCAAGAATGCATTAATGAGAGTTCTGGACAAGCCCAAGTCCTTTAGTAGGTTATAGAGAGATTTCGCTGTTATACCTCTCGCTCCCACCTCTACCGCGTACAAATCTACTACGAACCTATTTCGAGTGAGTTCGTTTGTGAGCTCGTAATATTTGTTGACCTTGATGGTATGGTCTTTGGGGATGTTGGTTTCCCAAGGGACCGTAAGCTCTATCATCACTACGCGCCTTAAAATTCGCGAAAACAAAAATATATCCGGTCTGGAGGCCGACGCACAAATATCCTCGGGGATTTTATATTGTTTTTCATACGTGTCCATCATTATAGTCCAATCCGACGCCGCTTTAAGGATGGAGTAAGGCTTGACGTTTGATTTTGTAGCCCTAGTGCCTTCTCTCACAAAACCTACTGATCGTTCGTTTGTGGTTATTCCCTTTTGCGCTCTGGCTACCGAAAGACTAACCGCTTCACGTATGACTTCTAAAACCCTATCGTGACGACGCGAGTATTGACCGCTGTCAAGGAGTACCTTACATCCCACCAGCAGATGCTTAGCAGTTCCAACTGCCTTTCCACAGATATAGCAAGTTTTTTCGGTACTTTTACCCCATCTTACTAAATTACTCTGATCTGGGAGAGTCATCTGGAACGCATTGAGATAGAATTTTAGCAATGCTGGCGACCAATCATAAATTAAAGTGCGCCATTTTAATGCTAATGGGATGCAAAAATCTCCTATGTCTAACCACTCGTTCTGCATTTCTAAATTCATTGCATGGATCTTATATTTATCATTCTCGTCTTGCCGAATAAAAGACTTCAATATATCCGCATCTTGGACTTTCCTATTTGATCCTAACCCCGCTCTGTTACTTTGCGCTCCTATCATAAATTGCTTATGGAATTGAAGTCGTGACTCTAGCTCGGGGGCATCTTCATCTTTTGGGAGCGATGTTACTATGTCATCATGGGATTTCCCCAGGATATATCTCTTGGAAACTCTTAGGTGTTTATAGAGCTCCGATGGCCTTTTTAGACTCATCCCAAAACTATTGCTTCCCCTAAATAACGCCGATGAATCAGCCGTTAGAGCGAGCCCGAGCCACAACTTCAACATCTTTATGACGCCTGCATCTAACTTTGACAAAAGGGTTTTATTAAAATCATAGACGAGGAAAGGCCAATTCAAACGTGAAGTTAAGTAATTCTCGTAGATCCACGCTTTTTTGACGTTACTTATCAGTTGGCTATCTACCTTGTCAAGATCGTTCAAAAAGCTATCTACTATTCCTTCTAAAGATGGAGTACGGCCTATATTATCTATCTTACGACCGAGAAATTTAAATGGTGCATTTTCCGTAACCGTAGAAATGCATTGACCGCCTAACGATAGTCCCGGATCGTATGAGGTGTATCTTGTATTCCGCCTACCAAGACACAGACAGTGACATTTACTGGGTTTTGTCCTCAATCCATCCGTCCACTCACAGAATTTATCCACTTCATCCAATAGTACCTGACAGTGTTTGGGGTTACGTGTCAGTATTGCGAGATCGTCAGCGAAGGCTAAAATGGATTCCGTGTATTTATTATTAAACTTAAATTAAATAACCATTTAAGAAACGGAATATAAAATCTACATAATACTTGGAAATAACGAAGTCCATTTAGAATTTCTCTAGACTTAACGCTACCAAAATCTTAAATGAACTAAGAGTATGAGTCAATATAAAGGCTGGTTGTAAATGTTTATTTTCAATTTACTCAAACGTCTGTTAGTGGTAGCACTTTACAAATACTATTACATATGACGTCACTATCTGATTTTAGTAGATGGAATGGACTATGGAAGAAACATTGAGAATAATTATGAAGAATGTAAATAGATACATAGTTTGTGAGGTTAGGAAATAGATGAAAAGTTTTTGATGACTCCTTCACGTATAATAATAATCATTAATAAATGTATGTGTATTATTATTATCATTGATTTTAAATAAATTTTCACTGACAATAAATAAAAATTTATTATTAGCTTTGATAAAAAATACAAAATATCTTTGCTTTTTATAATAATATTTAGAAAATTAAAGAAGAGGAAACTTTATAAAATCGTTATTTAAAAATATGTATAGTATTGGAAGATCTTAAGGTTTGTATTAAAGGTAAATGGTCTTAATGTCACTGTATTTAATACATTTTTACTTACAAATATACAAAATCTATGATTATTTCTTTTTATATATATATAAATATATATCAACGCGAACAAAACTCAAACAAATGTATGATACAACTCTAATCTTTTGGAACACAAATTTAAGGTTTCATACGTCAAAAGTACTCTCCTGACGAAATCGGAACTCACTGTAATATAAGTAAGACATTTGATATGAATTTTAATAGTAATTATGACATACAATACAATTTATTTTTATTTAATTAGAATAAAAGTGACGTCCTTATTCAGATGTTCCTAATAATAATGAATGTATGTATGTTTATATGAGACAAACTTCGTAAACATCACCAAAAATTCCTTTACAATTTTAGGGTAAATAAATTCTTATAACTGACGCTAGTAATTTATCTTTAATTTAAAAATAATTTGAAAATTAGATTCAATACACAAGTATTTTGTTCATATTTTTTTTGTTGATATTCATTTTAAAATATTACTAAAACAAAGTTTTCAACATATCTCAAACTTATCTCCGGTAATACAAAGTTTCTTCCACACAAAGCAAACTGGTCTTATAGTTTCCAGTACTTTCTTGTATTTAGATTTTAAACTTAAAGGAAAATTTACATTTTAACATCTTTACTGAAGGGAAATGTTTATTGATTACTATTATTTATACATATTATATGTGGATGAACTTTAGCAACATTTTATATTGAAACAAAGACACATTAAATAAAACTGTGCCATTACTTACACTCATATTAGCTGTCATGTTTGCAAACTGGAAAGATTATTCCAAAAATAACGACGTACTCAGTATTTCAATTTATTTAATATTGTGTACTCATCAAGTTTGTAACCAACCTCAAAAACTTCTCTATTTGGAGAAAAATTTACAATTTTGCTAGAATCATTAAAAAGATGACTACCTATGCACAAAGTAGAAGTAAATAAAAAGATACATAAATATGTATATTTATCTACTTAGAGCATGCATATAAACTCGATTCACAAGTTATAGTTATTATTATATTATTTTCAATTATTAAACGAAGTTTTCGCTCAAGTTTTTCTTAATGTTATATATAACATTAATATTTTCTTCATTAATGCACGCTTTAAAAATGATATTTATTTATTCATTAAATTGTTAATTGATTGTGAAAACAGATTGAAATAGAAATTGATAGCCGAAGGCAACATTTATAAAAAAACGTAAACGTTATTAATCAAAATATTAGATCGCATTTGTATGCGTTATCAGATTTTTATAGTTACTTATTAGTTTCTTTTAAACTCTTATGCAAATCATCACATTGACCATTTCAAATTGTATTATAATCTTTATTTAACTGAGATGTGTTATAAAATCTTAAAATACCCGAGGCATTTTCTTATAAAACCTGCGATGAGTATTAGAATTAAATTTAAAAAATTAACAATTTTGCACAGTTTATTGAGTAGAAAATAAGTTAAACTTTAAGCTATTCAGTTTATAGTCCCACAGCATAAATATAACCGCATATCCCACAACTGTTTTATTCTTTGGCCACTTTCATTAACAACTATGAAGCACTGAAATTAAGAGATCAAATATAATTTTTAAGAAAGTATTACGTTAAAAAACACGCCAAATAAAATAATATCGAGTTTTATTTATGGAATATTAAAAAAAAAATATTTGTTAAAATGCTAAATTAGTTTTAACAACAAGTTGAAATTGAAGAAAATATTCTTCAAGATTTTAAAGTATATTCGTAACTTTGTATTACCGGATATAAGTTTAAGAGAAGTCCTATATTTTGATTACAATATCAAATTTATGAACAAGATACTTTTGTATTTAATATAATTTTCAAATTATTTTTAAATGTAAGATATATACTAGCATGAGTGCATTCTTGGAAGTTACTTCGAAGGCAGGCCTAGCAGGTTCTTTTCAAATTTGGTTAGGTAGAGAGAGGAGCTTGGACGGTGGAGTTAAGCGTTCAACGCGCCTTAGATATGGGCCATGGAATGTTGACAAGTTTTGTCTCTAAAGTATCTGATTTTAAAATGTTAAATTTCTCTTAAATTATAGCGATCTATAAAATAAGTTAAGTCACAATGTTGACAAATTTTATTTCAATTCTATTGTATAGACGTCGAATAATCCATCTATACTGTCACTGACGTCGCTTTAATTCAAATATGTGACGGCTTCAAGTACGGCAACAGTTTTATTAATTAAAAAGAAAAGACAATGTTTCTCAAATTAAAATAGATGGTGCAGGAAATGGGTTGTATTGCTTAACTATCACATGATATTAAACAAAACAATAGTAAATTGCGATTGGTTTTTTAGTCCCTTTCATGTATTTTTATGATTAAAAACCATTCTTTTGAATCTTCTTAATATTGTAAGTTCACTTTTGTCTCAGATGTCCTTTCAATTTCAATATTGCTACATATAGTAATGCTATTGATATAAAATTTCTGTTATACTTTGCTTAGTTAATTAAAAAGAAATTGGTATCTTAGAAACATAATATAACATAAAGCAACAGTTACAGTTTACTAGGCTTTGTTACAAAAAATAAGCGATGGTATTATACGAGAAGCCATAAAAGACGCTTGTGTGGGCTAATATATTTGCACCATCCATTATATTTAACTAACGATCTTATGTTGCACCATATCAGACAATATACCAAAATAGATGCTTATTTAATAAGTAAAATTTATCATTATATAAAAGTGTAAGTATAGTCTTTCGAGATAAAATTTAACTGTTGGACAATAGTTTTTTCATTTCGCATAAACTTCATAATTTCTTATAACATTATTTGAAAGCTTTAGTAAGTGAGTCCAAATGTATGATTTGCATTGCTATGAAGATAATGCAGGTAGAAGAAAATTGTCGGTTTTACAATCACGGATTATGCAATAATTTTGGTAGTGACGACATCGCATGTGTACAGAACTAACAATAAACCAGTGTCAATAATAATTATTATTACAAAAAAAAGTAACATGAAACCCATTAGAGAAGGAGGTTAATATAAAAAAAATAATGGAAAAATAATTTACGGTCTATCTGAGGTTGGGAAGGGGAGTGTATTTAAGGACAAAAACGATTTTTCTCGATTTCCGGCAAAACTAAAAGGCCCACGGAAAACAATGATATTGCAAAGTTATAGGTAATAAAAAGATCCTAAACTTTTTTTACACTTTTTTCATATAACTTCAAAATTTATGATAAATTCAAAAAACCAAGTTTTTGGTTTGTTATTCTTATTTTTTACAAAGAACAAATTTGTGACACGAAATTTGGTGAAAACGTACCTTTTAATGTCCCAAATACACTATTATTTATTTGATTAAAAATATTAATTTTGTCAACTTATTGTGAATAAATATCGAAAAAGCACCGTTATTTTCAATCGAAAAATCACCCGTCAAAATATTAGCTTTGTTCAAAAAGTAGATATGTTTTGTTTTCTTTTAAATCAACTTTCCGATGGTGAATATATACGCATATATTTATTTATATTATATATACGCTACCGTACTCAATCTTCTCAGCAAATGCAAAC